GGAACAACTGCATCAGAATCTGAATTTAAACTAGATCCCTTGATGATTCCTATGCACATTAAACTTTGAGAAGCACTGCTCTAACATAGAGCACTACGAGGCCTGACCTACCAAAATCCAATGAAAGACAGTTCTCCAGACAATTTCAAGCAAAGCAAACATATCTGCCTCATTGTTGTAGTTCATTTGTGCTTTATAACAAAATATCTGAGACTAGGTAATCTATAAAGAACAGAAATTTATTTTCTCACAGTTCTGGAAGCTGGAAAATTTAAGATCAAGGGCTACTCTTGGCACCTAAGATGTTGCCTTGAACACTGTATCCTTCAGAGAGGAGGAATGCTGTGTCCTCACATGGGAGAGGCTGAAGGGCAAAAGGGACAAACTCCCTTTGTCAAGGCCTTTTATAAAGCCACCTAATCCCATTCATGAGGTCAGAGCCCTCGTGACTCAATCACCTCCCAAAAGCCACACCTCCCAATACTGTTGCATTGGAGATTAAGTTTCAACATAAATGTTAAAAAGGATAAAAACATTCAAACCATAGCATTCATTTACCCAGATATTTTAGGGCAAAGCATATTTTACCTGAAGTATCTAGATAACTATGTTCACTTTTTATTTGCTACTGCACTTTGGTGTCAATGAAAAATAACTTTTTAAAAATTCAAAGCAAAGTTTGATTCCAACCTAAATTTAATCCACTCCATTTTTAATTCTTAACTTGTTTGAGACCATAACACACCTAAAGCACAGTGTAGTTTATCAGAATGCACACATTTTAAACCTCTAGCAGATCTGTATTTATAAGATAAAACACAATGGTTCCAAAGGACACATTATATTCAGATAAATAACATTTGTTTTAATATTGGTTGTGTGGCTGCAGACAAGTCCATAAGTGTCATGAAGCTGTTATAGTTTATTCTATTATTCTACCATGTAATAATTTTCCAAATTAGACCACAGTGAAATAAAGTCAGAATTTATTCAAATATTAAGGTTGTACTTTCCATTTTATATTGAAGCAAAATCTAATGCTTAAAAAATGGATGTGTTCAGATGCTTTAGGCATTGGCTAAATTTATTTACTGACAAAACCATAGGGTTTCTATAGGTAGTCTGATGTATGACTCTCTCATAGGTAAGCTTGTAATGATACGTATGAAATTCTACAAAATCCTTGAGAAAATCTCCATGGATCCATGATTTTGGCAAATTCCCAGAATAAGAAATTTGCTCATGTGAGAACATACTGGTGTTCATGAACCACTCTCACAGAGGCAAATAATTTTATTGCCAGATGTATCTGCTGCCATTGGTAAAGATATTTTTCACTCACTATTAGAATGGCATATATTTTTTATTTTTATTGTTTCTTCTATTAGTGGTATGTTGCTATATTTGATGTGAGCTATCCATCTTTTATCTTTTGTTTCTCTTTAGACCACTGAAACTCATTTCAGGAGGCTCAGCTTCAGTTTGTGCTTTAATTTCTGAATATAGAACAGGTAACTCATTTACATAGAGATCAGATCCACAAATGCATGTCCATAAGGCATCGATTATTGCTTCAGATGGTATATTAGATGATCTACTTCACCTTAAATTTAATTGCAATTTTATGTTAACTTTAAGAATAAAGAACAGTAATGCACTTTTATCAAACAAATGAACAACTGAATGAATAACTTACACAAGCTAGATATTTACAGGTTACTTCTCTTGTGTTTACACAATGTCTCCTATCAAGTACTTTGTGATGGGTGTACACTGTGTTTCTTGGGAAAATTTATATTTGAAAACGAAAAAAGAAATTTTGCCTGATATAATCCTACTTTCAATAAAAGAGACCGAATCCCTGACTCTACTTTTAATTTATTTACCACTTTGATTTGAACCAAAAAGAAAAAAAGAACTTTATATGACTACCAATTATTAGAACTAGTAGAAGTCACTGGTTATGTATAAAGGGACAACACTTTGGCCATACCTGTATCCTAAAAAACTTTTAGTCAGCATTTGAATTTTCACGTTTTTATTTTAAAGAGGAAGGTTTTGCAGATACTTGAATCTACTTCATCTGCATTTCAATGTAAATGTTATTTAAAAGCCAAGATAATTGCTACCTACTGTGTTGTACACTTCTGCTTTGTGGAAGACTTAGTAACAATCTTAATTAGGCTAATTTTAGTCAGATTAATACTTGTGTGTGTCAGCACTAACTATTGAATGCCACATACTGCAGGATCTTAATTAATGCTAAGAAAAAGAAATACTCATGGTGTAAACACTTTCAAACTGAAAAAGCTAAAATGAAAATGAAGTACACCCAATTATGACAAAAGACAAATTACAATGATATCACTAGTTCTAGATTTTTAGTGAATTAAGGCTGACTTTTGAGTAGATAAATCCACTCAAATGTAATATTAACAAAATACAGTCATGATAACTATTGAGCATATCAAGTGTTTGTCTTTCACAGTTTACAGATGTTTTATGGTTGATACCCTGATGTACTTCTTGATTGCACTAGGCAATAAACTTGGGAATGTCATATCTTGAACCAGAAACCTTTCTTTCATTGCATTGCTTATGAGCTAGATAAAGAAAATAAGTTATTTTTTCCTTTATTAAATTTCTAGTTTGACCAAGTGGGTGAGATTTCCCCATAGCTCACTCTCAGTCTGGGCTATGATTTTGCACGTCAAACATTAGCATGGTCTTCACCATCTGACTCCTTTAACATGACAGTCCCTGGAAGGGGAATGACAGAATGTAGAAGGGAATGAGAGAGTATGAGGAGTAACTGCCCATTATGGTGACAAAAGGAGATTTTCGTTTACTTCATAGTGCTAACTGGAAATAGCAGTAAGGATTCCAAGGTAACACAGATAATTTATTAATAACTCTTTAACAGCTATGCATAGCTGGTAAGCAGAATAATAATAATAATAATAACAATAATAATAATAATTTAATTTCCTTAGAATCAGAAGACCTGAATTCAAATGACACTATCTTCATGACACTTACTATCTTGGTCTATTAAATGATGGCTTATCATGAGGTTAAATGTAATATGTATATAAAGGCACCAAAGTTCAAATTAGGAACTCATAATGTATGTTCATTCATAATTCAGATACTTATATATTTTGCCCACATTTTCAGGCACTTGAGTTCAAAGTGAAAGGAAATTTTAATATTAGACTAATTCAATTATGTAAATTAATATCAAAAAGTACCCTAGGTTTCTACTTTTATGTTTGATAAAACTTGTTAATCTTCCATAATCATAACCAGAATGTGGAAAACTTAAGTAAATATCTGATATAAAAGATGCATATCATCACACTTTTGTATTCCCATAGCAAAATATTATGCAAATAAATGAACAACTATGCAAATGAATGAATGAATGGAGTCTGGTTCAGAAACAACTGAATTCAGTATTCTGTACCCAGTGGAACATACAGCTTACTTTCTTTTGAAGTGAATCTAGTTTTTCTTTTTTCTTGTGCAACAGGTCTTGTTACCAGTCTTGAAGGAGAATATTTAATTCATTAATAACATCAAACAATATACTAGATAACTCTGTCTAACTTTTCTCTATTCAGAAAGAAAATGTTCTTCTTTAGAAATAGACATTATTTCAAATATGTGGGAGTGGAGAATTGTCCAAGAGAAAGTTGTTCATTGTAAAGTGAATTTAAGGTTTCTTATTCTCAGCAAGGCTTTCTAATGTGATTCTTTAAGCCACATTGTATAGTATATTTTCCTGAAGTAGCCCAGATTTTTACATTTGTAGTAAATAAACATGATTTGGAAACCCAGATTGGGATGTTTCATGACACTATACAAGACTGCCAAGATTTTTGGCATTTTGCAATAAAAATTTTCCCCGATTTGTCCTGCATTCATTCGGTTTCAATTGTGTATTTGCTGAGGGTATATACATACAATGTCTTACTTTCCTTTTGTATCTTTAAAATGCTCAAGATAATGCTGGGCATTCACTAAATACTTTCTGTTTATGCTTACCGAACAATTAATCATGTTCCTTGCTATTTCACTCATAATAATAGCCAACATTTATAGAGCTTTCATTATGTGTCAGGATTATTTTCTGGGCACTGATGTCATCCTGAGTAATTTCAAAACTTTTATAGAACAAAGGGACCCAAGATTTATCTATGGTATTGAAAAAAATAATGAAAAAAATAAGCAAACTAAAGAAAAGAAAGGTTAGGTGCCTGTCCAAAGTCACCTAGGAGAAATTCAGAGGCAGAACAGGGGCTAAGACCCAGATCTCTAATTCTTATATTGAGACTGATTTTCCTGCACTTGTTCTCTTGTTCCTGAGTGTGTCTGCAGGAATACGGGCAGAGGAGAGCGCGATCAGAATGGATTTCAGTTCCTTCTCTCCCATTTTAATCAGAGAAATTTCATTTTATGATCCATTTATTGTGTTCAGAATAAGATATCCTAAATTGTTTCACTTTAAAAAAATGTTTGAAAATCATTATTGCTATATACCTTACTATTTGAAAAGGTATTATATTGAAGCTGTGAATCAGAATACTAATTTTTAATACATTTTACTACCGGTTCAGAAATTAAAATTATTTTGGAGGGTTTGTTACCTGTATTTATTTTTAAGAGCATATTTAACATTGACTTGGGAGTAAGGACAGCCTCACTTGCAGAAGGATAGGCCATTTGGTGGTGCTGGGAATTTCGCCATCTCTTTATATTACATGTGGGTTCTGAGGAGGCATGAAAGGATGGGAAGAAGACTGGACACTGATGTCTAGGTAGAGATTTGGGAAGCTGGATCTTAGCACTCACAAATTCATCTTTTTTTTTTTCCGATTTGTCAAAATCTGACCCTATTCAGGAGCATAGAAGTAGTTTAGATCTTAGCAGAGTGGTGTTTGTTTGTTTGTTTGTTTTTAAGTTGTGAGCAATTCTCTCGAAAGGTAAGTTGTACTTACTAACGCATGCTGACAGAAGTGGTCCATCTCTCTTAGAGGGAAATAGGCAGGTGCTGAAATACTCCATAAAAGGAGCCAGAATTAGTAATGGTAGGATGCTGATGGCACTCATTACTGCAATTGGCAGAAGAAATCCATCCACATTCAGGTTGGAATTCATGGTCTGCAGATAATATCCCGAAGGAATCTGTATTCAAGAGGGAAGCAGCAGGCATTAAGACAGTGGTTTAACTTTGAAGAAAGCATCCTGCGCCAACTGTCTTCCTCCTTGCACCTACTCTCTGAGAGATGAGCTCGATGTTTCCCAGCTTTCCAAGGTCCCAGTTATGACCTGATAAAGGGTCTTCATCTGTGGCAATAGGAGCTATTTAGTTTATTGATGATACTACTGATTCTTTACGGAAGACTCTTTTGTCATTTAGTCTA